TATAACAAAACAACCCAGTAGATTGCTAGGGGTGCTGATAAGAGCAGACACCACTAGCAATCCCCGGGAGGCTCCATCTATTGGTGGGGAGCAGCACCTGCTGGAAAGTGGGTCCAATGTCCCTGAACATTTTATCTGTTTGATTTACGAAATGCATTTGTGATGGAGGCAGGCAGCACTACACAGCACTCTGAGCTGCTTGCCCACCTGACAGCCTATGTCTGGCCTACCACATAGGTGGGTGTTAACTGTTTTTTTTGCATTTTTTCTTTTTTCTAATTGAAAAGATTTGGAGGTTTTCGGGGATGCATTGCTTAGTGTGGGTAGGGGCCCTGGGGGTGTTCTAGGGGCGGTACGACACATAGGTGGTTTGGGTTTCTAGCAAATGAATGATGTGGAAATGCGGTAAATGGTGAACTGTTTTTTTTTCTTTTTTATCCTATTGAAAAGTGGTGCTCCTATGGGGATGCATTGGTTAATGTGGGTGGGGGTGTAGTAGGGGCGTTAAGGCACATAGGTGGGTTTGAGGGCCAGAAAGTGAAGGTATGGAAAATGTGGGATCCGACCTTGGTTGGTTGTTTTGTTTTTATCGTTCTTTGTTTTGCCATTGTCGTTTCATGTTTTGTCCTTGTCATCCAGTTCCGCTGCTTCACCGTCGGTTCATCCGTTGAGGTTCACTAAAGCCATTTGTGACGCAAGCACGCTTCGTGACCGCATCCTGTCATATTTTGCGGTTCTGACATCATGACGCGACGGAGTGGTAAAGAGCATGTTGACCCCGACACAGCCACGACAACAAACGAAACTGGGTCTAGAAAGGGACACAACACTAAGACATTCGACTCTCCATTCAAGATTGAACCGATTATTGATGCGAAGCGCGACGACCCCGTGTGGTATTTTGTTGCACGTGGCCGATACTTGCACGGTGATACGGCGGTGGGGAGGAAGAGTGGTTGTCGATGTGTGTGCAGATTGTGTGGGAAATCTATTTGTGGGGGAAGTACAGAAGCGAAGGAGCATTTCTTCAAGAGCAAGGAATTCAGATGCCAGGCAGGGACTCCGGCCGTGTATTACACCATCTGGGGGAAGAACATGGACAAGTGTCTGAAAGAGTTCATTGCCTCGATTAAGGAGTTGAAGAGGCTTCCTCCCGGTCACCCGTGCTTCCAGTGGCCGGCGCTTTCATTCCCAGTGGACTCGGAGCCTCGCCGGTCGCCTGATGGTGGGCCACGACTGGTTGACACATCGTCTCGCGGTGCAGGCGGCGCACCGGTTGTGCCACCTGCGGCGGGAGCAGCATCGGCAGGAGTACTCCCACCAGCCGTCCATGGAGGGACCGCGATGCTGGTGGTAGCGGCAACGAGACCACCGCCAGCGGCATCTGATGCATTGGCATCCGCTGTTGCATCTGCCGTGGGCGGGGGCACTAGACCTACCACTGCATCGTTGGAGCGCCAGACGCTTTCTCCGTCGGTGCGTGGTGGTGTCTTTGATGAGCTCGGCACATGTCAGTTCGTCGACGGTAGTACATGGGGTAGAAACCCGGGCACTTCGGCTGGCTTGCATCCTATGTTCACGAATGCCGCGGCCAAAGCTTCGAGTCCAGCGGGACCTACTCTTGCATCTACCCGCGGCACGACCGCGGCATCTGATGCATTGGCATCCACTGTTGCATCTGTCGCGGTGTCGGAGGGCGCGGTATCCCGGCCCTCCTCCGTGTGCCAAATCCCTGCTTGGCACTCACTCTGATGTTCCGGCCTATAGATGTATCTTGGACCCCTGCTGTTCTTGGTATCCAGGCTGTACCTCGGCGCGGACCAGTCCCAATGATGTTGCCCTCAACAAAAGGGGTGCGCCACAGGACTTCCATTGGTCCACGCAAGCTCGGCGCCCTGCTGTACAGCAGAGCACAACCGGCCTGTGACCGTGGTAGCCGCCGGGTTAGCCCTGGGACGCGGAAGTGAGAGGGCAGGCTCAGTCATTTCAACCGCGCGCCGAGCGTCCCTCTGCAGGGTTACGGGTTAGGTGCATGACACTGACAGCAGTCAGAAAAACAAAAAGCTAAACAAAAAGCAACAAGAGAAGGAAAATAGAAAATCAAAGGTCTAATTAATGTGGTTGGACTACTAGCTTTAGTTCGGGGGAAATCTGATGGCCTCCGAACCCCAGTTATCGTTACGTCTAACTTTTTTTTGTTAATTTTAACTAATTATTGTTATCATTATTCCCTTTTTGCCTTCCTTGATTGGCCTGTCGTTTCGTGGGGAGGCCGACAGGACTGGGCTTCGAACTCGAGCGGTGGTGTTGCAGTCTAGGCGGGCCCAACCGTTCGAATATCACCTGTACCGGGTTTGCGCGTCTAGGTTCCGCTCGGTAGGACCCCAGCAGCTGTACTGCAAGGCAGATACAGAAGTGAAAGTGTGAAAGGGAAAGAAAGAGAGGTAAGGATGAAAATCCGGTTTGGGCTTGTGCGTGGACTTGCATCGCTATTCGGGCGGAGCTGTGGTGCGAAAGAAATTTGAAGCGCCACCTTTTCTTTCCGCTATTATTATTATTATTATTATTATTATTATTATTTAGTTCCCCCATTTCCAGTTCTCCGGCCGTCGATCTGTCACTTCATAGGGAAGGCCGCCGATTCGGGTTTTTCAGACTGCAACTGCGGTCCTATGATCTGAGCCTTACCGGCCTCTCGTAAGTTGTTTGTGCCAAACCTGTTAGCCTGAATCGTGTGGGCCCCGATGGCTAGGTTAAAAGGCAGATACAGTGAGGGCTAAAAGAAAAAAAAAATAGGAAAGAGGGAAAAGGAAGGGGAAAATGGCAAAGGCTGAAAGTTGGGTTTTCATACTCATGTGTGAACGTGGGTTGCGATTCGCGCGATGTTGCTGCGCAGAGAGATTCTGGAACGCTGCCCTTTATTTCCTTTTTCTTTTCCCTGCGATTATTATTATTTTATTATTATTATTGTTTTTATTACTATTTCTGTTATTTTTGCTTAGATTTTCTATTTTCGAATTTTGTCTGTTGGCCTGTCTTTTCGCGGGAGGCCAACGGTTCGATTTTCGAGCCAGCGGCCCATGGCCAAAGTTGGCCTGCCTTGCATGCAATCAGCGGGTGAACTCCGAACTGACGCCGTGTGGTTAGGTTCCAAAAGAAGGGGAGGGCAACCCGCGACCGCATTGGTAGGAGGTTTATCATCCTCAGAAGGGTCATAAGCCCCCTCCTTGCCATCGAACATGGGTACCCGATGAAGATGGGCCTGCGCTGCAATTTGAAACCGGAGAAGTGACTTCTAGTACCCGTTACGGGACTACAGCGCCAAACCTGCAGTCATATTGCTAGGGTCTGGGACTGACAAGTGTGAGTTTTATGCGTGATCAGCCGTTGGGTTCTGGGCTTGAGTATTAGTTTTTAAAAGTTAATTATTAATCCATTGTTTTAAAATTCTTGAAAAACGGTAGAGTCTGAAAAGGACTAATCAAAGTCCCTTGTTTAGAACGCAGAGGAAAGCCTTATAAGAAAGGAGAGTGAGTCGGGATATCACCCGCTGCGAGCCACCCGGTAGCACGCTGTCTATGCTGTAGGGAGGTGTGCCATCGGAGGTTGGTGATTTTGCACTGTGCTGTTTGCCGGTCAGACGCGGTCTATAGAGAAAAGGGCAGCTATGGCGCTGCGTGGGTATAGGCCCGGGTACTGGTACCACCAGGCCCGGTGGAAACCCACGTCCGGGGAAGGGCCCTGGATCACCGTTATACTTAATTACGATGGTGGAGATGAGGTGGTGCTGAAGATCAGCGCGGAAGGAGAGAGAGAGGGAGAGATGCGGACCAACCCGAAGCTGCAAGATGCAATTTCGGAGGCGAGAGACCGGGCACTACGGATAACGGTGACCTATCAAGAGACAGAAACTTCGATGGACACAGCGGACCTGGAACAGGTCCACTAGGACAGGGATTCGGGTGGGGAAAGTGAGATGAGTGATGCAGATCGGGAGACCAACTTGCAGTCCTGGAATAGGCCAGGCCAGGTTGGTAGGAACCACCCGCTGGCTCGAGACGTGGAGACTGGGCCGGAGGCCAGTTCGTGACAGCCGACGCCCAAAGGCCGCGGGGCTGGGGAGAAACAGAGCAAGGGGAAGAGACAGGTGTGAGACGAGTCGACGCACGTGGGGCGAGAGGGTCAACAGCGAAAAGGAGAGAACTGAACGTGGGCGCGGGGATGTTGATGTCAACCGGACCACTGCATGCGTGATTAGCCGAGGAGAGAGGACATACGCGCACGGAGGTTTTCGAGAGACGTGAGTAACGCAGGGGGGTTGCAACAGCAAGAAGGCGGTCAATGAGAGGTGAAAGAGAGACGTGGGCGACGGGTGGATGCACCGGGAGAAGGGAGGGAAGTCAACGAGAGGGGCGATGCAGATAAGCGTGCGTAATCTTGCTAGATACGGTTGACTTCTACTGTTGTCTTCATGCTCGCTCAGGGCACCTTGTGGCTGATGAGCCGCGAAGTGACTTCTTGTGCGTTCGCCGGAGGGACTGGTCTCCGTATCTCTTCACACGTTTCTCCAAGAAGGGCCTGGTTTTAGACCACGTGCGGCTCTTGGAGGTTGCTTGGCCGAGAGGGGGGAGGTTACAGACCTGCGAGCTACACGGGATCCGGAGCAAGCAAGTGGGAAAGAGAGATAGTCAGCGCTGTGCATCCAGAGGGTGGCTAGGTTCAGCACGATCTGACACACCTACGCATTTTCAACTGATCAGTTTTGGCTCACTTCGAATATGACCAGCGTAGTGAGGCTCAACTTGAGTGCGCCTCCAGAACAGTTGCTAGAACCGTATTCAGTGGGTCATTAATCGGCTCGTTCGTAGATCAACACAAGAAAGGACACGTGTTGAGCGGGAAGGAGAACGAAGAGGTGAGAGAGATTGGGAGTTGGGCTAGTGTGCATACAGCGCAGCTGATGACATCTGTCTTCCATGCAATCGAGTAGAACGTGGGTCTGCTAAGAGTACGGTTGGGAAATTGAAAGCGAGGGTCGAAAGAAGTGAGGAACCTGATAAGCTAGACGAGCAAGCGAGAGGAGGAATGGTCAGACCTAGGGTGTCTGACGAGGCGACTCACTAGATAACACTGCTATGGCGACGATTGTTCCTGGTTTAATTGTTAATGAAGCTAGGAAGTGTTCTTGCTCAAAAACCATGTATGCTCATGCGTATTGATCTCTGTAGATTTTGCTAGTACGCATCAGTCACATTCTTACATGCTGGTTATCCTGATGAGTACCAATGGCGTTCAAGCATGTAGATCATCATGATGCGATCCAATGTGCGTTAGTCTTGCCCTCTCACTGTTGGGAGAAGGGTTGGTTAAACTAATCCGAGTGGGGCTTGCCTCTCTTCGACAGATCTGGTGAACTACGTCAGTCGATGTTTGTTGTTTCTCTCCTCCCTGCTAAATGAGGCTTCGGCTCGATACTCTAATGAAAAAGGAGGGGTTGAATGTCAGAGCGTTTAACTTCAAATTGTTCATTGGACAGAGCTCGATCTTGACGGAAGCAGAGATGATAAGACAGTGGCATATGTAAATCATTAATGGAAGGGAAATCTATCAAGTAATACGGAATTTTGTTCTGGGAGGCCGTGAGATATGAAAGTAAGATGTATGACGGATTAGACTCAACAGCCGAAGCATGGTGACATTTGCGGGTAGTTGGACAAATCCGTGACGATAAGGCACGTGTTACGGGTAAGGCATCTCGTATGTGAGAACTTCGTAAAACCCATGCAGCGTTAATGCAACCTGTAAGGACTGAAAGAGTCCTGCTTTGTACCACACTTCTGATTATGGTTGCGATATTTCAGCGTCTGACTGGGTTCTTTCATTTTGGTAGCAGACTCAAATCTCAAAGGGGACAGGTCACGAAAACAGTTCTTTCTAACCCTGTGAGATCACACGAGTAAGCAAGCAGGTGATCATACATGTGCTCACTTGCTTGAACATAACCGAGTGATCAACAAAGATTTGTTCAGTGATTGATGACAGACTATGCATGCAGCCTTCTGAACCAGCGTGTACTAGAAGGAATGAACAAGCACTTGTCATTACTTAATGATAAGCGCGATGACAACGCTGATCCGAAGTTGTATGAATGTCTAGATTCATGCTCAATTCATCTAGTAGGCTTGTCTGTCACGGGGAAAAATGCAGCGACGATTCTCCAGTTACTCGTTATGGTTTTATCTTCCATGAATAGATGGGAAAGAGGAAAGCTTCTCTGAGGAAAATCTCTTATATTCTCGCAAAGTTTTTGCTTGATGGTGATTAGTTGGAGCTCGCCTCGTGTGCCCTCTAGCTTATTGCTTTAGTCAAGGAAAACGTGAAGTTGCTAGGGACGAGTCTGTAAAGTTCGTTTTCTCTGTGGCGTGATTGCTCAGAAAGCAACAGACCAGGAAAATTCTTTCCATGTGTGTCCTCATCCTCAGTGTCTGATGTGGTATGTGCCTAAATTATCAATCATCAGTCACGTTCATTGTGCTCAGTGGTTCGAAAAATGGTCACCTGTGTCACAAGTCGGGGAAGCAAAAATTTCCAATCCCATATGTTAGTCGGGGTCATCGTCAACAGTCCCCAATACATTACGATCTGTATCTGATGTTGGTACAAAATGCTCCAAAGCAACTGGACGGGGCACTCTATTCAGAGGAGGTGGGGTGTCTTCTCATCCGGATACAAAGCTGCGGAACTCAGCTTGCCTAGTAGAACAATTGACTAGATCTCAGAGTCGTTGATTACTCCAGCTGACTGCCTACCTTGACAGCGGGCTACTCCTGAAGCTTCACTGAAGCTATTGCTTTAAGGGTCGATGAAAATTTAGTTGACGTTTTGCTTGAGCCATGACGAATCGTATAAGCTAAACAGTAGACCGAGCCCTACCCTGCTTACTAAAAGGCTTACGGAGTTTACGAGCCAGGCCTGTTAAACATTTATGCTCAAGCACGTAGTGCTAGATGCTAATGGAGCCTGATTTGAGTAGGTGTTACTTTGGGTCCTAGCAAGGCCTATTGCTACAGTACAGGAAACGAGGTCCGCTCCTAGTGCACGGCATGGTTGGCGTAGGAAACCAATACATAAAATAGTAGCCCAACGGTTTTCCCTTTTGCTCTAACTAGCGCCGCGCTAGTATCCTGTTTTGGCAGATGACAGAGTTATTCCTGGCCTGTAGTTCCGGGCATAACATTTAACCCACTTCAGGCTTGTACCCCAGGCTTGGGAGTGGTGATTTGTTCCTGGCTGTAAAATTTACCATTTGGCCTGAGTGTGAGAGAGGTCATGAAGGAGGGAGAGATCTTCGTAGTGAAAGGTGAGTCTGTTCTGAGAGGACATGAAAACTGGGAGGAACAAGCCTGCCAGAAAATGGAAATTCATAGACAAACTCAAAGAGAGTTCGCAGTCAGAAGGGCAGGAGAGAAGAAATACATAGAGTACGTAATCTACTTCTATGGGCACGATGGTGGGTTGCACGACACTAGCTCCTCCCTCGAGACGGTGGAACAGGCCAGGGCAAAGATTGCGCGAGCTCAGTAGTGCTCTAGCTATCATCTACTGAACTTTATCACCCTTGAGCGACAACACTGAGCCCTCCTTCAGCAACGGGTGGATGCAGTAACCTTCGATTTTCAGTTAATTATTCTGGACACGGTAACTCGCAGTAGTCAGACAAACATTCGGACAGGGCCTGGGGCAGTGTCCCGTACTTAAGAGCTCAGAAAACAGTGCTCAGGGCAATGTCCTGTACTTAGAGCTCAGAAACAGTGCTCATGGCAGTGTTAGGTACCCTGAGCAGTATTCGACACTCAAGACAATACTCAGAACGACACCTAGAACAATATTCGAGTGTTACTCAGTCGTTGCATGATCGATACTTAACTGCAATTCAGGTTTTTTTTTACTCGGTCGACGTTCAATGGTAACCTAGTCAATTTTCGTTCAACAATTCTTGGGAGTCAACCAAACATTCAGGTAGCGTTCAAGCAGCACTCAGGCTGCGTTCAGAACAACATCCAGAGATTATTCCGGGGAACTGTATTTTGGAATCCAGTACCTTTGACCGTACTCAGATCAGTACTCAGACTCAACACTCAGAAAACTACTGATGGAAACAGCAATCTGAAAACAACTATTGGAATCAGCAATCTGAAGCGACTACTCGAAACAACAATCCACCCAACAGCCTTTTGATACCTAGATCATCCGAAAGTTACTTGTCTCGAAATTGGGTAAACTGATGTAGTGAGAATTCGGTGAGAATATGGAGAGCAGCAACATGGTCAGAGTCTCTTGCTCGCTGTATTAGAGCACTGCGGAGGCTTGGAGGGAAAGTGCAGTTGAGGAGTACAACCAACAGACTACTGTGATGATGGAACGTGCACTGACCCTCGTGAGAAACCATACTAAAATCGAGTATACATACTATCTGCACGACAAGAATGGGAAACTATGTGCCATCATGACTTCTGAGGGTACTGTTGAGGAGGCAAGGAGGACTGTTGGCAGCCATTAGTGAACGTTTTGTCTCCGAACAAGAACAACTCACTTATCCAGACATTCAACAATCATTTAATCAGCAATCAATTACCAGCAATCAGTTATTAGTGATCAGTTTCTAGCAATCAGTTTCCAACATTCAATTTCCTGCAATTAGTTTGGTAACCAGTTCTCCAGAACCATCTGGTTGGTTTGCACTAGCAAGAGTACTCATGAGCACAGTTCAGTCTGCGCCGGTCAGTGAGTCAGTGCTGGCCAACCTCAATCGGATCTCATACAAAGAGGCATTTCATTATCAGTATGTTAGTGCCATCGGTTTCAGACAAGGAGATCTTCGTTGTCCAGACCAGTTTTGTTGATGACACTATTCACGATCTGAGGCCTTACCTGAAGAAGGGCAAGGAGGCTCATGAACTTTTCGATCCAGTCTGGATCTCAGCCACCGAATACCTTGAGCAGAGAGAGAGGGAGCTCGATGAGAGTGGCACTACGTTGATCCTCAGCTTCGGGCCGATGCTCTATAGTGACTATCCTAGGCCTCCGGTCCCTTCTCTTCTCACAGATGGCACGAGTTGGCTGGATGTGATTGGTTTGGCAAAGAGGTACATCTCTCCGACAATGATCGACGTTGAGGCGTTGTCCGAGCCCACCGAGTATCCCTACCTCAGACGAGGGGTCTTTTCAGTGGACGGACTGCCTACTTTGTGGGAGGAGTTTTGCTCCATGGTTAACTACCGTGTCATGTGCCTCGGATGGTCGTGCTCAGAGCTTGCTGGCTTCAGGTGGCATTTTGTCACGAAGCCTCAGTCTCAGATTGTATGTGGGCGTGGGTCTCGACACCAGAGGAGATCAGTGAAAAGAGATTGAGAGAGACTGACTAGAGGGATGAGTGAGGACTCTTGAGAGGTGCTGACCATGCTCGTTTATGTGTACTTTCTGAGATTATTATAAGTTCTCACTTTTCCCTCATTCATCTTGTCTTTGCCTTGAGTCAGTCAGTTTTGATTATCTCTTTTGGCATTGCTTGATGATGTGTTTTTTGCTGATCACGTCACAGTTCTCAACCTCTAAATTGGCAAATTGGCACATGCATGGTCTATTCAGTTTAATCTTAATTTATTACTTGCATTATCATTGTTGTTCCGAATCAAAATAAAAGATTCCTAAGACCGGGGACCGGCGAAGACCGTAATTGAAGGGTCTCGCTCGAAGCCGAACGCACACAACAGGAAAGGATTTGCATCATTTAATTTACTTTATTTAGGGCAATCAACATACAAAATCCTACGTGACAGCCTGTTGGCTTTCCGGTCGCCCGAAGAGGCCTGACTGGAAAAAGTGCGACAGCGGGCGGGGGCACTAGACCTACCACTGCATCGCTGGAGCGCCAAACGCTTTCTCCGTCGGCGCGTGGTGGTGTCTTTGATGAGCTCGACACATGTCAGTTCGTCGATGGTAGTACATGGGGTAGAAACCCAGGCACTTCGGCTGGCTTGCATCCTATGTTCACGAATGCCTCGGCCAGAGCTTCGAGTCCAGCGGGACCTACTCTTGCATCTACCCGCGGCACGACCGCATCACGCACGTCTCGGTGGTCTCCTCCTCATCCTCCACGTCCGGCTGCCCCTCTGCTTGCGACTAACTCGCTTCCACCATCGTCCCAGGCAGCAGAGGACGCGCCCCCCCCCCCCCACCGCCTCCCGTCTCTGATTCCTCGCCCACTCTCGCAGCCGAGACTGCCCCCACATTCACTGGTGTCCTGGGGGGAGATATGGATCCACTGCAGCGGCTACGCGGCATTCCACTCCCACATTGCGCTACATCTGCGAGTCCAGCTGGTTTGTTTGACGGTAGTGGATGTGGCCCGATCGCACAAGGGAGAGGCACATACAAGCAGCGGGCAGTGACTTCATATTATTCCGACCCGAGGGAGCATGCATGGCACATGACGATCATGTGGTTCATCGTGGAGAGCGGCATGCCATTCAACTGCGTGAAGCTTGAGAGCTTCAGGCACATGTTTACGACCATCATCCCTCCTGGGGTCCCAGGAGCTAAATGCCCAAACCGCCGACTTATCACATGGTCCGCACGACGTTGCTGGATGAGTTGGATGCAGATGTTCAGCGTTGTGTGAAGCCGGTGCTTGAGACTTCGCGTCATAGTGGTTGTATCATGACGGATGGTTGGACAAACATCCGTGGTCAGACATTGTGCAACTACCTCGCCTGTACTGAGAGGGGACCCACGTATCTTGCCACAGATGTTATGCGCGGGAAGAAGGATGCCACAGCGTTGGCGAAGGCATGGTTGCAGAGGCTGAAGACCATCGATATCCAGCTCAGCGACATCACGACATTCGTCACAGATTCCGCGGGTGTGAACATGTCCGCCATGGAGATATTCCAAGAGGATGAAAGTGTCAAACATATCTTCTGGATTCCCTGCGTGGCACATGTCATGGACCTCGTCCTGGAGGACATTGGATCGATTGGTTGGGTTGCATCACGAATTGCTCAGGCGCGGCTTATCACCAAGTTCTTCAAGCGCCACAGTCACGCATGCGAGGCTTTGGAGGCGAAGACAAAGTTGAAGTTGTTGCTGCCCGCAGAAACACGTTTCGGCACCAATGTCATTATGATTCGGAGACTGTTGGAGTTGCAAACCCATCTCATGCAGGTCGTCACCGAGGACCCGTGGCGCGACACTGTTTGGGCCACGCGGAAGATCAGGCAGCACGCCGCTGAGATCAGTGCATGTGCGGGGTCTCCTCCATGGTGGGAGGATTTGAAGGGATTGTTGCGGATTATGGACCCTGTGATGGAGATGCTGCAGATGCTGGACAGTGACACACGGCATATCAGCAAGGTTCTGCGTCGGTGCGAGATTATGATCGCATCCTGTCTTGCCATGTGCGGCTCCCTCAGCACGACCTAGCAGGATGAGATCCTCGAGGTTTTTGACAGGCGGCGCACCATGTTCCGTACTCCGGCCCACATAGCAACCATGATGCTGGATCCCGAGTTTCGGGATCCCACCCTGGCAGATGACGGCGTGATGCAGGAGGGGTTGAAAATCGCTTTGGTTCAGTTTGGCTACCCTGAGGGATCTCCACGGCACAAGGAGGTGCTCACTGTGATCGACAAGTTCCATGCCAAGGAGAAGCCTTTCGAAAGCGCGACCATGGATAGAGCCATGACGAGCTACGAGCACCCGTCCAGTTTCTAGGAGTCCAAATTGCGCAGGTTTCCACACAGCGCATACTTCGCCATGAGGATTCTGCGCATTTGGACGATAGCGTCGCCCTGTGAGAGAGTTTGGTCGCGTTGGAGTTTCATCCACTCCAAGACTCGCAACAGGTTGGAGGTTGGACGGGTTGCGAAGCTCGTGTGGTGCCACTGGACCGCCCATCTTTGTTCGACGACGCTCCTCATGACAGGCCCGACACATTTGTGAAGTGGGTACACTATTGGCAGCATTTGGAGGACGAGTTGCCCACTGACCAGCAGCTCGTCGTGGGGAGCGGAGCGAGATTGGCAGCCACACAGGAGGAGATGCGTGTGGTGAGGGAGCACATGCGCAGCGTTTCTCGCATGGGCTCCGAGCGCCGCCTTGTCCAATCGGACAAGAGACGACGTGGACGCATGCGGGCTCGTGGCAGGCGCTGTGGGCATTCGGGTCGTGGACGAGGTTCCGCGGCCGGGATATCTCCTCGTGGTGCGCATTCTGCGGGCCGTGATAGGGCGACGGTCGACCTTCTTCGTTTCCCTCGACAATATTGGGACGAGGGAGCTTTTTTATATCATAGCTCTTCTAGTGACGACGAGGATTTCTTCTGTACCGCGACACCGTCAGCACGGAACGACGACGGCAGGCTAGGGGACGACCATCGCGATGACGACGACCGTCGTGGCCCTCGATCGTTGAGATGAGGTGGTGGGGGAGGAGTTGTGGCACCGTGAGAGGCAGCTGGTGACGGGGGAGGAGGAGACGGTGTCGAGTCTGGCGGAGATCCACGTGGCGAGGACCTTGGAGCAGCGCTTGAGGAGAGGCGTGGCGATGACGACGACAGTCCCCCGCGTGGCCCGGAAGCTGCGCTCCGACGCTTGCAATGCAGGCCTAGGAAGATGAGTTCTATTGGCGATCACGTGCGTCGATGCAATGGTGCCCTTCGCCCCATTGTTCCTCCACGAGCCGCGGCGGCGCCGCTTGTCCATGTCTCCGAGGACTCCATGAGTGATGGGCCAGGCGAGGAGCGACACCCGTTACTTGGCGACGTAGCAAAATAGACAATTCTTGTTCATGATGGAGCAGTGGACGAGGCGTGTGCAGTACGTGGCGCAGGGGAGGAGATAGGTCCGACAATCCACACTGTAGAAGGAGGCACACTCCCACTTTCACGCAGTCCGTTGCTCGGTGGTGGCGTGGGCAAGCCCGACGTCGAGATGGAGGTGATGGAGGCGATGTCCTCTGGATGTGGAACTACGACGATGACGGACGCAGATTCGCAAGCCGCGCAGGCGAGTGGACCTCCAGCCACAGATGTCGCAGGGCCCGTTCATGGACGGCCCGGGCGTACGTCCACCGACGTGGTTTCCCACACAGTCATTCCCCGTTTGGAGGATGGCGAAATCACCCTAGCGGCAGCACGCACAGGAAACGAGGATGTTCGCCCCACCGGGAGTCGTCCTCGGACTGGCGACCTGCTCTCCATAGGCTCCGCGCTCGACAACATCCTCAACATCTGCACGCTTATATCGCCGACACTGCCGCACGTGCAGCCCCCTCCCCTCAACGGTGGGACCACCTGTGACACAGGAGGCGGGGATATTGGCCTCGCGTGCCCCCCCCGAGAGTCTTCCTCGCACATGCGACATGCTCGCCATGGATTCGGCGCTCGACGACATCCATGACGCAGGAGAGAGAGGGGATGACGAGTTTGGTGGAAACACATTGATTTCACCACCGTTGCTACGCGTATCGCCTCCTTACCTTGAGGGTGGGCCCACCCGCGATGCAGGAGGCAAAGGGTTTGACGAGTTCGGCGGAGACACGATACTTCCACCAATACACTCCGCGACCCCAACCGTATTTCGAGTGGGGAAACCCCATGAGGTCGCTCTCGGCCTGGCCGAGACTACGACACGCCATGGAGGTCCACCACACAGGAGGGACGGGCGGAGCTCCGCACAGCTCAGCCTTGCAGACTCTTTGGACAGAGTCTCTTCTGATAGTGCCGCATGACAGGGTGCGTCATTCGTTGGACTTGGAAGGGAGCAGCATCGCATACGCCGGGTGGAGAGGGTCGATTGGGAGGACTTGAGAGCAGTGGGGGCCATGCACAGCCTGCGAATGACGTTCCAGTAGCTTCGTCGACTGCTCGGCGCACTGATGACGGGCCCGCCACGCGCAACCATTCTGCTCCACCTGCTCCGGTGTTGCCGACATCCTCATTTTACGATTGGGGGAGAGCAGGAGCGACAGACGGTGCAACTGCGGCATGGAGAAGCGCATGCGCTCCGACAGATGTGCCCCTCGGGACGCGCTCCATTGGGGTTGTCGACAGTCGTCGCCATGGTGCGATGCGTGAGTACGCGGACCAGCATGGCAGACGGTTGGCGACGAAGACGTCGGATGTTGCCTTCACTAGAGTGTGGAAGGCCAGTATGTCACGAGCAAGAAACAAGGCCGGACCCGAGGGATCTTCACTGCATCTGAGTCGTCATGACGCCTCATCCAGGGACTCTGTGCATGGGCACGCTGCCCGGCAGGAAATTGCTGCACATGTTGGTGGACCGGAGGACGGACAACCATTTGCAGGAGGCACTTTATGAAGATCGACACGCGGTCGTGACGGCTCTAGCACTGCAGTAGACGAGCGACGCAATTGTGCCGAGGGGGCAGGGCCTGCGGAGAAGAGACATGGTGCTTTCACTATACTGCACGATGACAGCTCAGACATCCCGACCGGCGAGTCAACGGGGCCCGACGACGCAGGCGACTCCGATTATAGACCGGATGTACGGATGGCGGATGGGTCTGACGGAGGAGGACGTCGAGTCAGACGCAGGGCAGCATTTGGTCCACAGGGACATCTGACTGCTTCGACTCTGAGACCATTTGTCCCCCGGCCCCCGGTTGATCGACATGAGCAGGCTCTTACTGTGCTACAAACATTGGAGTGTACGCGACTTGGGATACAACACGCTGCACTCCCGCATCGTGACGGTGACAGAGAGAGACAGACAGACAGAGACGGAGGGGGAGAGATGGGGGGGGGGGGGGGGGGGGGGAGGGGGGGGGGGGGGGGTGGAGGGGTTGGCGGGGCAAAGACAAAGACAGAGGGCGAGAGAGCGAGAGAGAGAGAGAGAGAGAGTAGTCTCCTACAGAGGCATATTCTTAGTCCGAATATTGTTGGATCATGTGGCTTGGATACATCGACGACTCGACGTCGTCAAGCCTTGGGCGGGGAGTTGGCCCCTTAAGGCCCCCATTGTATTTATGCAGTGCCAGAGGTTCATATGCCCGCTTAGTGTACTCTCCATGTTCGGGTTGCCGCCTTAGAGGAATTGCAACCTTGCAGGTTAGGCTGGCTAGCATCATTGCTTACCCAGGTTGAGGGTTGTATCAACTTGTATGAGGGGCATTGAGGGCGACGCACGTGGGCTTATTCTCGTTTCTCGCAATGATGTATGATGTTGCTTGGACAGCGGAGAGCTTCATACCATTGTATAGATGCGGCTGACACGCCATGCTAGAGGCTTATATGCAGCTGATATGCCCATCGAGTGCACTCGTTGTGTTCACACAACTGTTTTTTTTTTTTTTTTTTTTTTTTGCTTTCATTCTGTGCTATGAATTGCATAATATGTTTGTGTTCATTCTGTGGTTTTGTCGCCCACTTGTTCAGTGTGCAGTGTTCACCGTTTATTGATCACGTTTCATGATAACCGTCTTTTTTTTTTTTTCTTTTGTTCATTGGAATTGAAAAACAAAACCATGAAGTAGCAGAGAGTCGTCCACAGCGCACACCGGCCCTGCCAGCGCCACGACCCACAGCGGCCCTGCCCCACCACTGGCCACCACACCACCATCACACCCCTCATACGATGGGAAGTTTCACCAACTTCCCACACACGGCCATACTCTTTGCCCACGGGGCCCGGGCCATGGCGGCCCTGCACTGCCTCCCCCCCTCGCCTCCCCAACTGTCCAAAGCGGCCCTGCCCTACCCACAGCGGCCCCACCCCGCCACATGCCCTGCCCTGCGCCCGGTAACCCCCGGCACCCGCCCTACCCTGCCCTGCCCTGCCCCCGGCAACCCCCCACCCCCGCCCCTGGTAACAACTTGCATCCGCCCTTGGTAACCCCCCAACTGTGAACTGGCAACCCAAACATGATCGCCAGTACGAATGGGGGAGTGACGTCGATGTCGATTAGCTTGTTCAATCATCGCCTTCTCGGCTTTGAACAAGTTTGCATGGACCCTTTCCACATCAATCCTGTAACTTCTGGAAAACTCAGCGGTTCCAAGAGTCAGGTCGGATCTAGCCTTGTTGATGATGTCATCAAGAGGCTGGCGTGGTTCACGACCCCAGTGTAATCGATAGGGTGTGAATCCAGTCGAGGAATGAACAGAGGTGTACACAAGTTGTGCATGAGTAAGATGGAGATCCCAATCTTGTTGATCTGGAGAGATGACAGCACGCAGCAACTGAAACAAAACTTGGTTCATCACTTCAGCCTGACCATTTGCTTCAGGATGACGACCAAAGGTCATGTCTAGCCATGAATGCAGGTAGTCCTTACAGTAGGACTGCCACTCACTGCTGCAAAATCGTGGGTCTCTATCACTGGCAATGGAAGTGGGCGGTCCATGGTTAGTTATCCACTTCTCAGCAAACACTGTTCTCACAGCGGGAACTCTAGCTTCCTTTGGTAAGGGGATGAATTTTGCATACTTAGAGAACCTGTCAACACATACCATAACCTGACGCATGCCTCGAGGGGTGGTTCTGCCCAGATCTGTAAAATCAATAGATACAAATTCTGCAGGACGATGGGGTACGGGTAAGGGTTTGAGCAGTCCAAGAGGAGGTCTACGTTGGACCTTGTTCCTCTGGCACAACTCACAAGTTTCGATATAGCGCAGCAGATCACTCTCATCTCCTTCCAGAAAAAGCGTTGTGACAGGGCTGCATAAGACTTTAAGAACCCAAAGTGGCCACGTGCATCATGACACTCTGACATGAGCAAAGTCCAGAGTGGCTGGTCATGAAGGATACACAAGCGTTCCTCCCCATTGCTGTAGGTATACAGCAAATCTGAACTCATAACATAACCTGGTTCAGAATTGGGATCTGCTTGCAGATTCCTGACTAGGGTCCATAAGTCGGGTCCTGAGGCAGTAATCGAGCAATGGTCTGGCGGGTCTCCTCTCCAAAGGAGTGAGTAGAAGAGATGGCCGCATAAGTGTCAGGCCTACGAGAGAGGGCATCTGCTACCTTGTTGTAGCAGCCCTTCTTATGTTTCAGTTCAAAATCAAACAGATCTATGAACTGAATGTAGCGTGCTAATTTGTCATTCAACTCTCCCTAGTACTTTATCCACTACAGAGTGGAATGATCGGAAAAGACCTTGAAGTGCCTGCACAGTAGAAAGTGCTTCCAATGCTTTAGCGAGGAAACAAGAGCATACAACTCTTTCTCATAGGTTGAATCCTGCAACTTTTGGGTCTTAATCTTCTTGCTCATGAATTCAACAGGCCGTAGACCATTCTCATCATCCTGCTGAAGAACTGCCCCAATGCCATATTGACTTGCATCAGTGGTCAGAATGAATGGCAAAGTGGGGTCAAGCAACTTCAGCATTGGAGCACGAGTCAAGGCCATCTTGATTCGTGTAAATGCCATCTGACAGGGAAGGGACCAAAGAAAAGGAGTGTCTTTCCTTATCAGGTTAGTCAGGGGTGCTGCTACTCCAGAAAAGTTTCTGACAAACTTTCTGTAGTAGGAAGCCAAACCCATGAAGGACCTCACATCCCTCACTGTCTGAGGTTGTGGTCAATCCTGAATAGCAGCAATCTTGGCTGCTTTAGGGGTCGAGCCATCTCCAGAAATTACATGGCCCAGATAGATGAGAGAGGGAACTCCAAAGGAGGACTTCTCTCTGTTGATCTTGTACTGGTTGTCATGTAAGGCCTGAAGAACCAGAGCCAAATGCTCCACATGTTCCCTAGCAGTTCTGCTGAATACTAAGATATCATCCATGTAGACAACCATGAACTTCTCCAGGTATGGCCAGAAGATGCGGTGCATCTCTATTTGGAAGGTGCCAGGGGCATTGCAAAGTCCAAATGGCATGACCAGGTATTCATAACTACCATACCTGGTTTTGAAGGTTGTCTTATGGACATCCTCCTCTGCCATTGCAATCTGATGATAACCAAACTTGAGGTCGACTTTGTTGAACATTGTGCAGACCTGCACCATATCCAGCGGATCATCAATGCGAGGAAGAGGCTCTGTACTCCTCGTGATCTTGTTGAGACCCCTGTAGTCTATGCACATTTTGAACTCACCATTCCCTTTAGGTACAAAGAGAACTGGTGCCCGAATTCAGATGTGCTGGGTATGATCCAACCCTTGCTGGTTAGGGTCTCAAGCTGCTTTCTGAGCACATCAAGCTCAGCAGGGGACATCCCGTAGATCCGGCCCTTGGGAGGAACCACTCCAGGAAGAAGCTCGATGTGATGCTTGGTTGGCCGTTGAGGTAGCCCAACAGGCTCCTACATCAGATCTGCATATCGGTCCACAACCTGCTGAACTTTTGAGGGACAAGCAGCAGGAACAACATCTGTTTGCTTGACAAGTGCCAAGAACAGACGCTCGTGGTCAAACATGAGAGAGCATAAAACTCCCTCGCTCGCAAACAGTAGCAGTTGGTTTTGGGATGGTGTTTAGCAGCAATCATGCATGGCTGATACACCCCCTGCAGATCGGGTAGCTCAACCTTAGGGATCTGCCAGTCGATCCTAGGGTTGGCTGCCTGCAGCCACTGCATAGAGAAAACCAAATCAAAGAGTAAATCAGGGAATATGTAGAAGTTCAGACTATGTCTGACTTCTCCATGAGCATCGAAGGTATCAGGGATACCCCTAACCTTCTCCCTGATTGTAAATTGTGGTGGAGTTCCCTATCCTGACTCGCAGCGGTTGCTGCAAAGTCACTGTCTTCAAGTTCAAATGAAGTTTCTGAACTGCCTTTGGGGACATAAAATTCCGGGTAGCTCCACAGTCACGAAGACCCTTGATTTGGGTACAGTTGATTAGGGGGTGAAGTAGAATGAGTTCAGATTCGGTTTTCCTCTGTTCCTTCAGATGAACGAAGAGGGAAGCAAGCATCTGAGCCTCATGCTTCTACAATTCCTGATCTGGGCCAGGATCCTCATAAGTAAAGGATGCTGCCCTGACAACTCCTGTTGTAGCTAGCCTATCTACTGAAGTAGCTGCAGATTCATCCTCATCCGAAGATGAGTTTGGAGAACTAGGGGGAGCTGCTGCCCCTAGGGTTTGCTTCAGTTTTTTGGTTGTGATCCAGGGCCTGGCATGTAAGGGCAGTCCTTGACAAAGTGTTGTCCCTCACATCTCAGGCAGACCCCCCTTTCCTTCCTTCTCCTCCAAACCCCTTCCTGGATTCTGAGATCATGCCAGGGCAGGGTGGAAGGATTCAGCGGGTCAGCTGGCATCCGGACGTCTCTTGGCAGGTTAGGTCTCTGGGTAGGGAGGCTGAAGGACGATGTCCCTTGTCCTTCCCCTTTTTACTGCTGGTTGATGCGCTGCTAAAGGGGAACTTCCCCTTCAAAACTCCCAGTACCGCATCAGTCAGGCCGCTGCAACTTCTGCAGCAAGAGGTGGTTCAGTTCCTCGCAGATGGAGTGGCAGGCTGGGATTCTGAATCACTTTTTGATGCAGAACCTGCGTGTGCAAAAGATGCCTTTCCCTTCTTTCCTCCATAAAGGATCTCCAATCCTTATACCCAGTGTTGTACAGTGCTGCAGCGAACTTCTCAGGCGCTGCCCTGCAAAAGTTAGTCAATAAATAATGAGATGACATGACCAACCCAGTGGTCGAGGTAAGCTGCTCACCGAACAAGGAGTGAAGTGCCCCTCTATACCGCTGCTGTCCCAGGTGAGCAATCCTGTCATCAGCCTCTTGTCTGCAAATCGGTCCTCCAGGGCCTGCAGAAGCCCGTCCACACCCAGCCCAAAAGCCCAGTCCTCCAATCTCATGTTCTGGCTGTTGGAAGAGGATGTGGCCCATTTCAGGGCCGGTCCATCCAACAGACCAGAACAGTGGAGACCTTTGTCTCCTCTGTACAAGTGACGCCCCTCGGATAGGCTCTTGCGCCAACGGCCCAGTCCTCAACATCCACTTTGGGGTCATCCCCTCTGAATTTGTCGGGGGCTGGGATCTTTGGGAAGAACCGCTGGTCACCAGCTAAAGGGACAGAGGGCTTGGTGACAAAGGGCTTTGCGATGGAGGTGGTGGTGAGGAAGAATGCCTGGAACTGGACTTAGGAGAAGAGGGAGGAGAAGACTTAGAAAACAGAGGAGGAGCAGATAGGCCAGAGGCTGGCAGCTGAGCAAGAATCTCATCCATCTTTGATAGGATCTTATCTTGCTGAGCTGCCAGGTCATCAACTCGACGTTCCAGCCGTCCCAACTGGTCATCCCAGTTGGTAAAATAGGTAGTGGTGGCTTTGTGGTCCAAACCGATCCACTCCGCCACATACCTGTTTACCTTTGAGGTCCGACCATCCTTTTCGATTCTGGCCAACTGCTCCAACAGGTACGTCCTGCGAGATGCATTTGTTGCAGCCTCCAACTCTGCTGCTTCTTGCTGTTCAAGTGCAGCTCCTGTTGCTGTCACAAACTTCTCTCTCTCTTCTTTCACTTTCTGCTGAGTTGCCGTCAAAGGTGGAGGAGGTGGAAGAGAGGATTCAACTTCCTCCTTGTTTACTTCCTCAACCTTGGGTTGTGCCTCTGAGCCTGTATCAGACATTTTGACTCATTCAATACAAATAACTTAGTGAACAACACAGTCTGCAGCGATTTTCAGATATTCTTCAGAACTACTGAGAATGCTGCTATCTCTGACACCGTGTTATGTGGGTGGTATGGGCAACAGGCGGTCTGGGTTAGAAGCCTTCTCTGGAGGCCAGGGGTCAGACAGAGCGTTAGTCCAGCAAAATCTAACAGACGATTTCCTTTTTACTGACCCTGGACCATTCAGGTAGTATCCTCAGTTCTAGACTTTCCAAAGAGGTCACTGGTATTCCAGTGCCCACTAGAACACAGAAGTAATCAGTAGGAGAGATGTAGGGGGCAAGTACAGACACTACAAATCAGTAAGATTCAACGAATTACTCAGTAGTCCCTCATTCAGACTCAAATTTCGCCACTGTGGACTCTGACAGCCATACCCATAGGTATGGCGAGTTACAATATTTACTGTAATTACTCAAATACTGCTATTATGGGCAAGCACCTTTGCCCTGACGACAACAACAGAGTTGCACTTCACTAGAGACTGACAAAAAAGAATTCTGATGGACAAAAATGTAATTATGAATGACCCTAGTTAGGACAAACCCTTCCTAGATTCAGCGCAGAATCACAATTCACAGTATCTTTACTTTCTCTGTACATAATTCACTATCTGACCATGCAATATCTAGCGCAATACTGTCAAGCAGTCACCGAACAATTTTGAGACAGAAAGAGTCAATAGGGGAGGAGATACGAGCATAAGAGACTGTGGAAGAAGATGGTTATGGCTGTCATGCAGTCTGATAATTCTATTTTTAGACCTACACTGACAGATAGACCATGAATTCGGACGCTCTTGACACTGAATAAGTCGCCACACTGAGTTCTCCACGGAACATACTCACTTTAGGAAAATCTTGCAGAGGAAGATGAAGCTCTGGCTATGGCTGACAGTATACTCCTTTCTCGCCACTTTCTTCCAGAGAGTATCCCTCTGATCTCCACGTACAGAATCTCACCAAATTTGCTGAACTTGTAGAGGGGACTGAGGCACTTCACCTCAGAGTGCTGGATTCAATGAATCTAGTCAGATTGCGAATTGTCATGCAGACAGAGAAAATTCGCTATTGTCACTCTCATCAGCTGACACTAGAATGGGGCCTGAGAAGCCCAAATTCAGTGTGGGATTGACTCTGTCAGTCAATCCACTCCAGCGCCATGCATTGTAGAAGCCGCCTCCCAGTACTTGTCAACCCTCAGATGAATTTCGCCACTCTGAGCCAAATCGCGATTCTGGCTCTCATGCAGAAACTGGCGAAATTGCTTTGTACTCGCCACTCAGGATCAGGTGCTCTGACAGGAAGGCAACGCCTGATCAGTCCTGTACTGTACTCCTGAGTTCACCGCCTGAATGTCTTCTTCTCGCATGACTTAGTACTGAAGAAGGAGAATCACCATGAAGCTCTCTCCAAAAGATCCTCAGAAGAAGAAGATGCCCCAATTGCACTCAACCCTCAATTAGTCAGTTCCTATCCCGCTCTGATACCAACTGTTATGAATTTGGTTGTCTGCCGATTTCAATCAACACTCGCACTCAGACAATCCCATACATGCCCATACATGCATAAGAAGAGGGGGAGAGGAGACAAAGTACACACTGAACACAGACAGAGTAGGCAGTGGAAAACAACCATGCACATGTGGAGACAACACTGAGTGTTTCTCACGCTCTGAAGATACTCCAAACAACCAATCATAAGAAGACACTGCGAGGATAACAAAAGAACTCAGCCAAGCCTGAGCCAATCTGAACCAAAATCATTACAGAGTTTATCCCAGTATCTCGCCACCACAGAACTCCATACCCCACTCTCCCACTCACACCCAGTTAGTTGCGCTACACTAAAATCACCTCTCTGAGGCCAGCGCCCACCACCCACATGAAGATCAAGATCAGCGATGAAGTCTCTAGTGCTGAAGTAGGTACTCTGTCGAAGAAGTTGCAGCTATGGCTGCAGCGCCACTGTTTCTGCTGCTCTGATCACTCCGACGAAGTAGCAGCAGCAGTAGTCCACCCACAAACCTCTGTGTAGTGCCCATGTCCCTCCGCTAGGGTCAGTGATCCAAGGGTTGCAAAAGAGAGGTTGTCTCAAAACATCTTCTCTGTTTCCTGGTGAACCGTGTTTACTTGGCATCATTCTCCGCCAGGCTTTGATGGTAGGACTCCAGTATGAGGTAGCTGTTTGAGTGGGCGTTGTGATGAGCTCTGTAGGGTTTCTCCTGCGAGGTCTGCATGATTTGATTCCCAAGTCCTTCCCCATGAGCCAGTAGAGACCTCTCATGTTTGGGGGGAAGTATATGGGTGCCAGGTTTCTGATGTTGTCTAGAGCCATCAGGGTCCAAGGGAGGGTTTGTCTGATCAGGATCTTAATAATCCATTTCATCTGCAGTGCTATGGACTCCTGTTTGGGGTCGATTAACCCAAGGCCCCCTTCCTGTGGTTTCCTCGTGATGTGGTTCCAGGCTACCCTATTGATACACGTGGTCCTGTTGGGATCTCCTGTCCACAGGTAGCATCTCTCCCTGTTTTCTAACGTCTTGATGTCGTCATCGGGGGGAGACCAGATGGATGCCATGTACCACAATGTGGAAAAGATTGTCGTGTTAATTAAAAGGGCTCTTCCAATTAGTGAGGCCTTGATCCAGAAGAGTATCCCAGTACTATGGCTCTCCCTCCTGGGGCAGGACTTCTCATGGAAATCCGGGGATTGGGGCATACTCATCTCCCAAACCCAACCCACTAGAGCATATCGATTTGTCTCTCGAACCAACCCACTATGCTACCTATCCACATTCTACTCATACCCCATAGCTAATCACAACCTACAAGAGCTGGAAATCTAGAACAAAGATCCCCGGTGCGACACACTTGAAACCTTCAGACTGAGAAAAGTGAGGGTTTCCAAGTCCAAACCCTGGAAAATCTTCCAACCGGATCTCAGCATTTCAGACCTTGAATTCGACCCGAAAGAGTGGGTTTGGAAGCAGGGCAAATCCGGGAGAACGAGGACAATATTTGATTACGATGTCAAATTCGGCTATGAGTTGGGTCTGCAAACCACAGACCCTGACCCTGGACTCAAAGGAAAGTGGAGGTAGATCCTGAATCTGGATCCCACGGATCCCATTTCCATTCCATGGATGAAGTACCTAACCATTAGACCGGTTAGGATTCAAAGCATGCAGTGGCTCCTAGCGCACGCATCGCTGCCGGTTAATCAACGGCTCCACAAGAGGAGGAAACATACTAACCCGGACAGCTCTGAGCTTTGCAGGCTATGCACAGACAGTATCCCGGAAGATATACTCCACCGCCTACTGTTCTGCACGGAAGCAGCATGGATATGGAACAATGTGCACGACCTATGGACCCTCCTCTTCTCATCACCCCCTCCGCCCATAACTCCCCTGAACATCCTGCTACTTTCCAACATTACTAACAATCTCAAAGGCGGCAAGCAAGTATGGTTTTACCTGCTCAGGAAGTTGGCTCTATGGGTAATCTGGAAAAGGAGATGTACCAAGACGATCGAAGGAACAGAGGTGGCAAGAGAAGAAATGTGGGTACTGTTGCTGGGAATGGACGAAACTGAGATTCGATCCAGATGGAGGAAGGTGACAACAACAACGAAAGACAGACCAGAAAGGATTGCCATCAAGAGACAAATTTTCATGAGAAACTGGCTTCTTCAGGGAAAGATTGCAATTGTGACAAGTAACAGATTGATTTGGAAGAAATGGCATAGCACACCTCCAATAAGGACGGTGCACCAGTGATGGGCAAACTAAGATTCTCATCTCAACAGTATGGACAACTCTCCTCTTTTCGTGCTTTAAACGAATCAGCCGACAGAGTCACAATAGAATTCTGAGAGGAAAAGTGGAAGGGCAAGCTGACAGTCAATCCTCCGGATTGGGAGCAATCAATGTTGATCAGGGATCCTTCGGCCAGACGGAAGGAAGCATGAGAGTGTTCACCATGTATCCCAATTTTTTACTTGCCGGTGGAAAGGAACCGGACTGATGCTCCCCAGAATGGATATGGAGCCAGGACCATAAGGACCTGTTTAAACCACCAGTACCTCCGCTAGTGTTGGGAAATTACGATGTTTGGCCAGTACCCGAACTTTTCAAGGGTGGGACACAGAGTCGGCAATGTCCCATAAATCTGAATTTATAGTGACGTGAGTGAACGGAAAAAGGGGAAAAAAAAATGCTTTCTCTACTGCAATGATGTCGGGCAGGGTAGTCCAGGAGTTTGTGCTCACAATCTTCCTCCATAGAATGCACCTTACAGGTAAGGCGGTCGTATTCTGAATGTTACTGTTTTTTTTTTTTTCCTTGGTCGTGTGTTTCTTATGAGTCCCCTGTCCGTGAATTGCTCAAGCTGTCTGTGATTTGCTCAAGCTATGTTTTGTCAGAGGATTGTAAGGCTCATCACACTCGCGCTTAGGGGAATGTATCCAGCCATTTTCACAGCCGGATCCATGTGCCCGTTTTTTCCCCCTTTTATTCTCTTTTTGCAATCTGACAACCTGGCCACGGGGCTGAGATGCCCTCATTGAGGGCACACTCACACTACCACTTCCAAGAATGTATACAACCGCAATCACAGCCAAAGCTTTGTTTCCTTTTTTTTTTTTTTTTTTTTTTCTGAGGTTCACGGCCGCAACTTTTCTTCTTCTTTTTTGTTTTTTTTTGTTCTTTCCGTGAGAGTACCAAAAAGAAAACGGAGTGGTACCCAAGCTCGGCAAACTCGGAGCGCAGTGAAATCCAGGGTCGGCAAAAACAGGCTCGGAGGTGGTTTAAAGGGAAAAAAAAAAGAAAAAAAAAAGGAAGTGGGCCAACGAGAGTTCTCTATTCTACGATGATGTTCTCTCTCTCTCACCCTCGATGTCTCTTCTCCCTCTCTCCTCATCTTCCTCGCTGCATTGGGATACCACATGCACAATGAGTATGGTTTCACGAACAATTTTTGGAGACATTGATTCTGCGCTATGACGACTTGTATCTTGACATGGACGAGCTTCTCATATGATTGGGTTCATTGCAATATTGTGTTGTTGTCAGTATGGTTTTCTTTGTTGCAGTTCACTTTGTCCTTATCTGGACTAGCTCCTGGGACTTTGCCCTATTCAGGACCTCTGGCACGTAATGTCTCACATTTCTGGCCCAACATGCATCAAACTTTTTGCGCCAGGCCACGTACTGTCTCGTGTTTCTGGCCCAACGTGCATCCACTTTTTGCGACAGGCCGTTTTTTTTTCTCTTCCAGCCTTCCAGGCCCTCTTGCTGAGACAGCAAGGGAGCGCCTGGTTCAGAGTAGGGAACCAGGCCATACGTTTTCAGGCCTAGGCCTGAGTTTGGTCAAATGGCCTCTCACCTGGACAGCTGGATCTTGACGAGATCGGACGACCCAGATGGGAGGCTGGCCAGGTTGGTGGCTGACCCAGTGGTATTTTGGAAAAGGCTGGCCGGGTTGGTGGCCGAACCAATGGTATTTTGGAAAAGGCTGGCCTAAGAGATCGTAGGCAATTCTCACTTCATTCGGATGCCACCAGGCTGCACGAGCAGGAGCAGCCCAGCGCTGCGTCAGTGTTACATGCCCAGTTGGGAGATGTACATATATAGCCAAGGATCCGCAATGTGATAAAAAGGACTGAATGGACAATGCAATGCTAGTAGAATCTCAACAAGCAGTGTACATCTAGATAGATACAAAACTGGTGCTTTGTAGCGCAGTGAAAGACTTAGATACAAGTCCTGACCTGACCGGGATTGACCTCCCTCACGTAGTACAAGATAGCGCCGCAGACTACCAAAATACCAATGAGTAGCCCAATCGATGTCGCAATGCAGACCAAACATACATCATCCTCATCACAAGCTGTGAAGGGGCCTGGCGCTACACATAGGAAGAATGTGCCAGGTCCAGACCATACACAGACGCAGACGAGGGGATCAGACGAAGAAGGAGGGGGGAGATGGGAATGTCGTTAACACCAAGTCTTCGGTACAAGTCCCAGATAATCCCTCGTCAAATGTCTGAAGCCCAATGTCGAGTCTGGATCCAAATGTCACCAAGCCCGCTCTCTCATAGTCTGCGGATGCAGTGAAGTCAGGTAGCGAGAGGGTGAGAGGGAGATGGTGGACTGAGAAGAGGAAGAAGAACAACTCTCCCTCTCTCTCTCTCTCTCACGTGCCAGGTACTAACCTGTGAAGATGGCGCTGTGCTGCAGGTACCTCGAAGACGAAGCTGGAGCTATGGAGCTGCAAGTAAGTCTCCCTGGCCTCCCCCAATCTCTCTCTCTCTCTCCAGTACTACTCTAGCTCCTACTAGCGCCCAGCGCTGAAGACTACTGCTAGCGCTACTACTACTACTGCAGCGCTCCTCCATAGTGCTGCTGCCAAATCCTGAAGACTACCTCCTGCCTCCTGAACTGCACGTGAAGTGCCTGGGAAGTCCCTCTGAACTGCCTGCAGCCTGCAGGGCGGGCCAGTCCTATATAGTGCTGGCCCGTCCGGGAGGCTGCGCTTGCCAATGCCAAAACGTGCTAGACCCTGGCGTTGAAGCTCAAACAATGGTTGTCTTGAAAACAGGCCCAGAATGGCATGTGCTAAAACCCTGGTCTGGTGCCTACGTTTCAGGGCAGGTCGATCTTATGAGGGCCTGAAAATGGCCCTCTGTTTCAGGCTGAAAAGACTCAGGGCCCAGAGGGCCCTGTTTTAGGCTGAAACGACATAGGGCCTGTAGGCCCTTGTTTTCAGGCTTTCAGGCTGAAACGACACAGGGCCTGTAGGCCCTTGTTTTCAGGCTTTCAGGTTGAAAACGACACGGGCCTGAAAATGGCCCACGCAGCATGTAACAACCCACCCTCCTTATGAAGTCAAGCCGGGTCGAGGGCGAAGCTGATGATCTGAAGGTGGAACCTGGACGTGGGTGCCACGTGGAGCCGAAGATACCGGCTTGCCTTGCATCTTGCGTTCGTAGCGTGCGAGAACATCTGAAGCTGTTGCTTGGAGTTCCGCACGGATCAACCAACGATCGGCTTTGTGGGTGCAGTACGCGAAGTGTACCAAATATTCGGTCGGCCTGTTGCCGTAGCGTCGCTGGGAGATGATGTCGCTGACCTCTTGAAAACCGTCCATGGAGGGTGGGTCTTGCGATCGTCCCCCGGGAAAATCGTCATGTTCCGCTGGCGTGTAAAAAGCCAACTTGGAGCAATGAAAGACCGGGTAGACGGGCAAGTGGGCGGGCACCTGAATGATGAAGGAAAGTCCTTCGGGTGCATCCCCAGCCGGTGCCACGATCGGCCAGGGCCCCATCCATTTCAGGAGGAGCTTGCAAGAGATATCTTGTTCGAGGCTGAATTCCGCGGCGGAAACCCAAAGGAGATCGCCGGCGCGGAATGGACAAGGAAGACGCTGGCGATTGGCCTGTTGGCTCATGCGTTGCTGCGTCTTAGCCATCTGGTCACGTGCCTTGACAAGTAGCTCTTGCATCCGACGCAAGAAAAGAAGATGGTTGTCGCTCTCGGCCGCTCGTGGAATGATTGTGTCCAACAGAGAAGTGCCTGACGAGCCGTGCTCAAACTCGAAAGGCGACATCCCGATAGTCGGGTGGATGGACAAGTTGTATGCCAACTCGACATCCGACAGTCGCTCAACCCAATCCTTTTGGTCGGGACGGATGAGAGTGCGAAGGAGAACCTGTGCGGTCTGATGCGCCCTCTCCGTCCGGCCATCGGTTTGGGGGTGGCGAGCCAAACTTGGCTTGAGAGATGAGCCCCATCGTTTGATGAGCGCCAACCAAAAATCGGACATGAACCGAGTGTCGCTATCGCATACGATTTCCTTGGGGTAACCCTTGGTTCGAATCCAATCGGCGTAAAGAACCTCGGCCAACTCCGGTGCCTTGGCATGATAGCGGCAAGGCAAAAACATGATGAACTTGGTGAGTCGTTCGACCACCGTGAGAATCCCATCCACACCGGTCTTGTGCTTGGGGAATGGCCCGGTAATGTCCATGGCAATCACTTCCCTTCGGCGCAAGGGGACCGGTAATGGTCGCAACTCGCCGTACGGAAGATAGTTGCGGGACTTGCAGCATCGGCAAACCTCGCATGACTCGCAATAGCGTGTGACGTCGCCGAGAACGTCGGGCCACCAAAATCGCTCGCGAAGTCGGCCAATCGTGTGATTGACTCCAAAGTGTCCGGTGGCGGGAGCATCGTGGAACTCGCCAAGAATCCGTGTACGCAAGTGAGAGTCACTCGGTACACAAAGAGGGTCCTTCCCCCGGGTGTGGACAAGCAAGTACCCCTCTTGGATCCGGTAGTGAGAAGGCGCCGGATTAGGGGAGGAGCAATTCGCGTACTTGACGCGAAACTCGGGGTCGGCTTGGTAGCCGCGGGTGAAGCTGTCCTGCAGGTCGCCGTTGATCTCGAAGGTCGAATAGACTGCGGTACAATGATCCGGACGTCGTGAAAGAGCATCCGCAAAACGGTTAAGACTTCCCCGGAATGTGATCGGGAAAGGATTCGAATTGGTCGAAGAAATCCAACGGGCGATGGTGCTATTGCCGGTGTCTTGGGTCTTGTAGAAGACCAACGGATTGTTGTTTGTTACCCATCGGAATTGACTTCGACCAAGAAGGAATTGCCGCCACCGCTTGAGCGCGTGGACGAAGGCTAGGAGCTCCTTGTGTGCATCATCAATGGAGTGCACGACGGACACTTTCTTGCTGAAGTACTCGACCGGGTGCCAGTCCACTCCATCGTGTTGTTCGAGGACGACACCAATGCCATAGCCGGACGCATCCGTAGTGACGCTCGTTGGCAATAGCGGGTCGTATATGCGCAAGGCCTCCACAGATAATAGCGCGGCTTTGAGATCCAAAAATGATTCCCACGCATCCTCTCCCAAGTCAAACGGCCAATCCTCGCATTGAAGCTTGGTCAAGTGGGCCGCGATCTTCGAGTATCCCTTGATAAAACGTTGGTAGTAGCCGACAAGGCCAAGGAACGAACGGACATCTGTGACGTTCCGCAGCTCCGACCACTCTTGGATGGCTTGAATCTTACCCGACAACGGACTGATGCCCTCTGGTGTGACAAAATGGCCCAAGTATTCCAGCTCTTGCCGGACAAATTCGCACTTGTCGCGGTTGGCTTTGTACTTGGTGGGGCGAAGCGTCTCCAACACTCGTCGAAGGTGCTCAAGATGATCCTCCAATGTCCGTCTATAGACGAGAATGTCGTCTAAGTAGACCAGCACGGACTGGTCCAACATCGGACGAAACTCGTTGGTCATTGCCGCTTGAAAGGTCGTCGGGGCGTTGGTGAGGCCAAAAGGCATGACCACCCACTCAAAATGCCCATACCGCGTCTTGAACGCAGATTTATAGCGATCGTTCGGCCGGATCGAGATCTGATGGTATCCTGATTTCAGATCCAACTTAGAAAAGTACTTCGCGCCACCCAATCACTCAAGGAGATCGTCAATACGAGGAAGAGGCCCCACATTCTTGACGGTTTGCGCGTTGAGCTTGCGGTAGTCGATGCACAATCATAGATCTTTGTTCTTCTTTCGTACGAAGAGAACCGGTGCTCCATATGGGGAGCTACTAGGGGGGATCCAGCCCTTGTCCAACAAGTCATCGAGTTGCGCACTGAGGACCGTAATTTCCTCCTCGCTCATGCGATAAATGCAATCTTTCGGCGGCACGGCACCGACCTCAAGAATGATCTCGTGAGAGATCGGCCAATCCGGCACCACACCGGTAGGTGACTCGAAGATGTCGGCGAACTCGTCAAGCAACCGCACCACACGGGGGTCCGAAGACAAGTCCGTGGGTGAATAGTCGGCTGCGGCGACGGTCCGCAGGAAACATAAGCCGATGTCATCGGGCTGCTGTAAGCGCAAGTAGCCCGGAATGACTTGGCCGTCACCACTTGGCACCGAATCGAAGGGTGCAGAAGAGGAATAGTACACGACACTTCGGTGCCGAAGGCGTCCCGAACGGTAAGAGTCCGCCCGTGGAAGTTGACCGTGTGATCCGCACGTGCAAGCCAAGGCATTCCCAAAATAATGTCGAAGTCCGTGTCCAAAATGTCGAACGTCACCGGTTCGCATGCATGAGGTGCGAAATACACCCGTACGACCTCGATGTAGCGGTCGATAAGTTGCTGCGTCCTTCCGTCCGCCAACTTGATTGCCGCCGAGTTTGCCTTCCTCCGAACTTGTGCGCCAAGGCCAGCCCTTTGCATAAAGGCTTGGCTCATGAAATTGCAAGACGCGCCGCTGTCCAGCAAAGCATTGCAGGATGCTTGCCCAACTTGGATGCGAACATAGAGGAGCGGTGCGTTGTTGTCATCGTACCGTTGCTTGCGAAACTCGCAGGCCACCTTGGTAACATACGCAAGGATGTCCCCCACCGCAGCTTCGTCCTCCGTCGGCGAAGTTGGTCGTGCATAGAAGGATAGCTACTTGTGAAGATGAGCGCATAATGCTGCGCATTGCGGTCCCGGCAAACAGCTCGTGGTCGGGAGAGGAAGCCATTCGAAATCCTCAGACATGAGAGGGTCCAATACCTCTATGTTGAACTCGCGCGCTGAATCCCGTGAAGGACCACTTGAAGACGAGAAGTTGCCGCTGTGAAGCCCATATGAACGACGGCTCACACGAGCCAACGTCTTGTGGAAGCCCATATGAACGACGACTGCCTGGTCATGGAACTCTGCTACTGCCCGGACACGTAGCTGTCCAGTGGAGGGAACGCAAATACGGGGCTCTCTGGTGCCCTGTGAACCGTGCCAGTACACAAGACCGTTGTCCCCAAGAGAGTAGTTCGGGACGGTCTTGCCACTCGAAGGGTCGCATGGATGTCACGATAGTCGGGGCAGTGGCGGCACCGAGTGCGAAACTCGTCGATCACCGAGTGGTGGACGGTGGTGATCGAGATGGCAGCAAGCCGGATCTGCTTCAGATTATGGTCAGGGCGCCGGGATAAGGCATTTGTGACCCGATTGGTCTCACCCTTCATGTGCTCGGTGGTGAAACGAAACTTGGATAGGTCGCACCACCAGCGAGCCTGTCGAGGAGTCAGCTTCGGCTTTGTCAGAAAAGCCTGGACAACAGAGTTGTCCGTGCGCACCGTGAATGGTGCCCCGAGCAGGTAGTGACGCCAGTGCCGAGTGGCATAAACTACTGTGAGAACCTCACGTTCATCAGCAGTGTAGTTTATCTCGACGGGCAGGAGCTGACGGGAGTAGAAGGCTATCCGACAATCACCTGAGCGAGACTCGACAGTGCCGTCCTCGGCGATGGTAGGAGAATAATCAATAGAAGGCTCGTCAGTAGCCGGACGAGTAGGCGTCAGGCGGGAAGCAGTGGTAGGGGTAGGGGGTGGGAAGCGAGGGATGCGAGGATGAGAGGAATCAGGAGAGGAAGGGGAAATCAGAGAAAGCACTGCTCCTACAGCAAAGTCTGACGCATCGGTGGTAAGGACAAAAGGGCGATCAAAATCGGGTAGGTGGAGAACCGGTGCACATCTCACCCCCTTCTTGAGGGCGCGGAAGGCATCCTCGTGGAGGGGTGTACAAACCCATAGCTGGTTCTTCTGAAGGAAGGTAGAGGTAAGGACGTAGGAATACCTAGCGTATCCCTGGATGAAGCTACTATAGTAACTAGCGAGGCTGAAGAAACTGCGAAGCTGCTTTGCGGATGTGGGGACGGGCCACTCCGCAATAGCAGTGATCTTCGCGTCGTCCATGTGGAGACCCTGGTCAGACACGTAGTGTCCTAAGAAATCCACTTTGTGCTGGGCAAAGCGGCACTTGCTCAGCTTGGCGTAGAAGCCATGTCTGCGCAAGCGGTCAAGGATGTCGTGGAGGTGTCTAAGATGCTCCTCAAGGGTTCGACTGTAGATCAGGATATCGTCGAGGTAGACGAGAACGTACTGCCCCAGGATGTCCCTGAAGATGTCGTTCATCAGCCTCTGGAAGGTAGCGGGTGCGTTGGTGAGGCCGAATGGCATCACCGTAAACTCATAGTGGCCGAAGTGCGATCTGAACGCTATCTTCAGCTGGTCCGCTGCAGCGACACGGATCTGATGGTAAACGCTACGAGGATCATTCTTCGTAAAGAAGCGGTTGCCTGCTAGGCGGTCAAACAGCTCGTCGGAACGAGGCGTGGGGTAGTTGTTCTTAACCGTGTAGCGGTTGAGACCGTGATAGTCGATGCAGAGACGGAGAGTTTCATCCGCTTTGCGAGCAAAGAGGACAGATGCAACCCACGGGGAGTTGTTGGATTTAATGAAACCCAGTCTCAGGAGCTCCTCAAGCTGACGCTCAAGTTCAGTGGCCTCGGGAATCGAGAGTCTGTAGGGTGCCTGGTGGTGAACACGATAGTCAGGCACAAGCTGGATGGAGTGCTCGACGTCGCGCATCGGTGGGATGCCGGCGTACGAGAACGACGATGGGAAAACGTTGTGATACTCTCGAACAAGGTCACGAACTGCGGGCTCCAGGTCGGCCGTATAGCGTGCGAGTTCCTCAGCGTCAGCGCAGGACGACGGGTTGGACTCGACGGACGGTGGAAGGAGGGAAGTAGAGATGGAAGCCATGGAGATAGAAGGAGGATCTGGCTCCAGCGAGATGAGCTCGGCATCTGGACAGGGTGGATCATAGTGCAAGAGATCCGTAACGTTCACCGTAAAGAAGGTGACATCCTCTTGTCGAATGAAGTGGGCGAACTGCCGAGGCGAGGTGACGGTGATAGTAGGAGATGGTGTGGGCACGGAAGGCTCCGGGGGAGGAGGATCGGGGCGTGGTGTCGCAGTGGTACCTATAAAAGGTATGCGATACGTCTGTCCACACTTCGTTCTAAGAACGAGAGTGTTGGTCGCCCAATCGGCCTCGGGGCTGCGGAACCGATAAGACCACGGAGTACCGAGAATGAAATCGTACCGTGTCTCCATCACATCGAAATGTGCAGAGGAGCGGTGGCGACGAGACGTCGGGGGACGATCAGTCGGCTCGAGAGTGAGGAAGAAAGGGAGGTCGGTGACCGTCTGATCGAAGAAGCGCTGGCTCTTGTCATCTCCTAGGGTGACGGGGATGGGAGTCAGAGACCCTGTCGTGGGTAAGCGGGCTTCTTTCACCACACGTGGGTAAATGAAGTCGCCTTGAGAACCGGAATCCCACAGCGCCGGGTACACCCTCGTGGAGGTCCCCAGTTGTACTGGAATGATCGGGAGGGTTCGATCAGAGTTAGAGAGGACGGTGAGAAGCCGACGCAGTACAACGCCATGGACGGTGAGTCGCTCCTGACGAGCCTGGAGCAAGTCCAGAAGAGAGGACACAACGTCCTCGCGAGTTGCAAGCTGCTCTCTGCAACGGGCTGAGCGAATGGCTCAACACGTCGGTAGTCGCGGAGAGCTAGGAGGGGGGACGGTGGTCTGCAGAGGCACGGACAGTACTGCAACAGAGGGCTGAGTACACTTTGTCGGGTCCTGCGATACCTCAACTCCAGTAGCGAGAGGGGCAAACCGTGACGGAGATGTCGGGAAGCCAACTACTGAGGAGGGCGCAGGTGTACACTCCACCGTGGCTAGGAGGCGCCGGGGGGGGACTAAGCACGATGCTGGCGGGAAAGCTCAGCGTAGTGGCGGTCGTGGGCGGCGGTGTAAGGGCACCGCGAGCAGGAATGACCGTCCTGGTGGCAGCACAAACACCCATGCCGGCCCAAAATGGCCGCGCGCTCCTCAACAAAAAGGACACCTCGAGGAGGGACAAAGCCCTGAGGGAGGTCCTGCTGAGGGACCTCGGGGGGCGACGCGCCAGCATGACCAGAGCGGCTGCGTGCCCGGGAGAGGGTGGAGAGGGCAAGCTGGAGGCGCCCGGCTATAGGGAGGGTAGAGTCCTCCAGATGGTAGTGGACGGCCTCGCAGAGGTCGAGGTCGTCGCTATGGTCACCCTCAGGCGACAGCGGGGCAACAATGTCCTGCTCACCATACTCGAGCGCGCTGAAGCAGCGCGAAAAGTGGCGGCCCTGCTGCGCGGAACAGCGGGGACGATCGTGGAAAGGGGAATGGCGCTGGGAAGTGCTGTGAGAGAAAGAGGGAGCGTAGCCAGTACGCTGAGGCTGGGAGGAGGAATTGTGTTGAAGACGGGCCCGCATCCGTTGATGGGCCCGGGCGGCCTCGTAAGCCCGCGGGGCCGATGTGAAATCATCCCGCCATAACTCGGAGCGTTACTCAAGGGGGAGGCTGGCCAAGAATCGATCGATGAGGGCAACCTCGGGGAGGAACGCCACATCACAAATAAGGCGGGCATCCTAAAAGACCTGGATGTGGCGGTCCAGGCCGACAGCGCCACCAGAGTCGGACCAGCGTGTACTGACGACACGCTCGAAGGCGTCAGTCACGTCATGTCGGGCTTCGAAGCGATCCTCGAGGAATGCCTGAAATTCCATGAAGGTCCGGGTCCGACCCTCACGAAGGGAGTGAGTGTAGAAATCCTCCCAGGCGTCGAAAGGACCGCCACGCAGGCGCGTGGAGAGGTGAGCCACCCACGTGTCGGGTGGGACGCCCATGAGCTGGAGCGTGTGGGTGGCAGACTGCAGCCACCGGGACACGCGTATCCCTGTACCATCATACAAGGCAATGTCCGTCAAGCGGACGAGTGGTGCGCCACCGTTTGGCAGCGAGGAGATCGAGGAGCAGAGGCCTGCGCTACGGCTGAGTAAGTTGGCACAAGTCATGGAGAAGGGGGCGCAACTGACTGTATGCCCGGTCCGCATGGTGGAGCTGTGGGGGGAACAAGGGCAGGCTGCGAGGGAGTTGCGGTAGAGGAGGTCGCCGCAACCGAGGGGGTAGGAAGGAGGTTGGATGGGGGTGGACGGGGTGCGGGGCGGGGGAATCGAGCCTGCATGGATGGAAAAGTAAAGGAAGAAGGGGGTGCGCCCGAAGGCGCGGCCACCTGTGATGGTAGGGGTGGTTAAAGGTGTACGAGGGCAAGGTCGGCCCGGATCTGGGCAAGCTCGGTCTCAAGACGGCGGACATAGATCGAGCGGGGAGTAGAAGGAGGAAGAGTGGGGTAAGTAGACGCACGAGCGGCGCGGGGCATCCCATAAGGGGGAGAGCCAGTTGGCGTTTTGGTCGTGCGAAGGGGAGGGAGAAGCAAGGCACCCGGAAAAGTTGAGACTACGACAGAGGGTTGTGGTCCCGTGGCCATAGTAACCGGAATCTGGGCGGGTGCGCCTGTAGAGTGAAGGAAGGCCTGGCCCGTGGCGGTCGTCGCACTGGGAGCGTGGACGGCCACCAGGATGGCCGGGTCGGGGGCAGCGGAGGAGGAAGCTCCGTCGTGGCCACCATGTCGGAGGGCGGGGGACCCAGGCTGGGAGCCAGGGGAAGAGAGAGAGTGGGGAGAGGAAGGAGGACCAACATGCTAGAGTTGTCGCAGGCCAGCGGCAAGAGTCGTCACTTGCGCCTGTGAGGGCGCAAGGAGGGAGGTGAGGAGGGTGTGCAGATCCCCCTGGGGCTGATGGCCCTGGTCCACCGACACGGGTATGGAGCCCGATGCCGAGGTCGTCGCCGCATCGGCGGCTTGTGACACGCCGTCGGCCATGGGGAGGTGACGGGTCGGACTCGAGGGGGCCAAAGGAGGTCCGCGTGAGCGGAGGGCGTAGGGGGGGGTTCGTGGTAGAAAGCGACGGGCAGCGCTAGTGAGTCGAGCGCGGGCGCCCGCAAAGGGGGAAGGGTGGCTCAGGTCCAGGGTGCCCGAAAAAGGGGGAAGTAGGGGCGTTAGGAGAACCCTAACCCCTAGAAAAACCCTAAGAAAACCCTAACCGGAGTTTGAGTGGTTAGGGTAGGGTACCGGTGACCTAATTGAAAATAAAATAGCAACCATGGAAGGGGGGGGAAAGAGAACAATAAACAAACAATGAACTTTCTAGAGAAAAATAAAAAAAGAGTAAATAATAAAAATAATTAAAGAAATAAATAAACAAAATGTGAAGAGAGAAATAATTATTTATTTTTTTGGAATTTTCGGCAGCATTTCCCTACCCTCCATGGGGTCAAGAATGCGCCAAGGGAAAGGAGAGACCAAGATAATGTGAGGGTTGAGCCCTCAAAGGGGCCTTGCCGACATTCATATGTTCTGGCATAGGCCCCCAGCAAGCCTCGTGCCCACCCTAAGTGAAGGCTGGTCAGAATATCCACGAATAGGCCTTTCTTTCAACATTTTTGTAAAGTGGGTATCAGACAGTTGCGGCACGCCAGTTGGTTGGAGTGCATCGTGGATCCCAGACTCCTGCGAGAAGTAGTTGAGCCCAGGGCCTCCGTTGGTTGAGCCCTGGGCACAGGCCAGGGGAAGCCGACACATCACACATTGGATGTCGCCCAATCGGAAAGCAGCATTGCCGTCGTAGAGGCTGAGCAGACCAATGGGAAACCGGAAAGGGTCTACATCTGGACGACGGCCCTGGCATAAGGGGCGCAACTGTACTGCCCGGGCCACATCTGGGTTGGGCCTGGGCGCAAGTACTGGGACCGGGGCACAGGCTCAAGGCAGGCCGCCCACACGCAGCAAGGCATATAGGCAAAGAGTGCGAGTGGCAAGGGATCTTGGCCAATGCAGGCATTGCGGGCACGCTGCGCATTTGCGAGGTGCTGCGCTGTGCAGAGCTGCGCTAGGCTGGGGTGAGGCAGGCGAGCGCTAAGCGGTAGTGCGCTGCCTGGGCGCAGGGCGCTGGCGGCCATAGCCGGGCTGCCTGAGGGCGCAGAGGAGGAAGGGCGAAGGTGGTTCTCGGAGGTGAAGGGCGCTGTGTGGGTTATCAAGGGAGAGTGTGGGTGAAGAGAGAGACGTACCTGGTGGAGAGGGAGGTCGACATTGGTGTTGACATCATCACTCGCTGGTCGTCAAGTTCTCTGGTTGCTTTCATGCTGTAGTTGTAGGATTAGGCTGTAGAGTAGATAGGGCACCTGGCGCCATTCAAGAGAGAGAGCTACATTGGGTTATGCTGTTGGTGTTGCCCGATTGGGCTTGGACATTGACTCACAATTTTGCTGTATCGTTCTCAGATGGATGGTTACTCGGTTCCATTGTGCTATCTGCTCTTGCTTTGACTACTCGGACTTCAATGTGATTTTGCAATTTGGATTGCTGTGCTTCGTCCATATTCATGTTCCTTGCAATTTTGGTATCAGAGCTGGTTTGATTCGCCACTTACCTTGGTGCGTTGGCGTTATACAGACTTGGTGCGTTGACGATGCTTCTTCGCAGTTGGTTCTTGTGACGTCAGGCCATACTAGGCGCACGACCTGGGTAGAGAGGTGTGCGCCGGAAGGCGAAGACGACATTGATTGTCGTGGTGACAGGCAGAACGTATGATTGGTGATGAGAGCATGCTGATGTGGCATTCAGCTGAGGTGGCACTGCATTGCGTTATGGGTGGTACCGAGGCCAAGACCGGTCATCAAATGCACACTCAGCTCAATTGGTGAGAAATCTGTGGTTGGGGGCAGCTATCTCCAGGTACGTTGTTCCCTTACCTTATCCACTCTCTCAATCTCTTCTTACCGCGTGGAAGTGAGTCCAACTTGAGAGTCCTCTCTTTTGGTGACGTGTCGTGAGCGCGCTACCTTGAGAGACGACAATCTTCCCGAAAGCATCTGGAAGGAGAAAGGGCGGTGCCTTTGAAGGACCCTGGTCGAATCACTGGGTCACGATCACCATGCCAACCCAATGGGAGTAGGTCACGCATGCGATGGCTGCTGTCCATTTTGGCACTTTGCTGCGCTGATAGAAGTGTTGTCGGGTGTGCCAGCCCATATGAGACGCTTACCAGACCGTCTATAAACATTTCTGGTTGGGGACTCGGTGTTGATTCTGGCTATGATCGTCGTCCTGTCTGCAACGTTAAAGAATTCCTAAGGAGATGGGGGCTCTCCTTAAATCCCTCCTGATCAGCCAGATCACACTGGGCAGTAAGGCTCGTTCCGTACGAGGGTAAATAAGAGTGGATGGGTTGGCTTGCTCGGCAATGACTTGGGCACAGGGGTGGGCCGAAAACACACACGAAGACACCGATGCTCATTGATGCTATTCGGTATGTTGGATTGAGGGGAGGGTAGGTTCTAATTGATGCTCAACTGGATACACAACCATACCCCCTGATCATACATCTGCAACATGGTCTAGGCTTATTATTGATTAGTTGGTTGACAACTGCTAACACCTCACAGACAGATTAGAGTAGGACTGTTGTATACTACCATAGCCAGTTCTATCTAATGCTGCTGTAAGTGAACCAATCAAGATACACCTAGACTATGTTGACAGTCTATTGTGAATGTTGTAGGCTGCCACTTGATCGGTAAAGTAGG